CAGACATGCTCCTGAGAAATTGCTTGGTTTGAGCATTTGTGACACAAAGAGTTATCAACAATTCTGTGTTAGGGAGATTTTCCACATCCTAAAAATGTGGCCAGAAAGGTTAATGTAGACTACTCTCTCAGGAAGTACATGTCCTTGTATGATAATGCATTGCTGTGTGCTGAGCTGAATAACTGTTTTTTGAAGGTACATATTTTCAAGACTTGGTTTCTTTTTCAAAGGAAATTAGAACTTTCAAAGGTTGTGGTAATCTCTTGTTCACAAAAGTGCCTGTTCAGCAATGGGGTGTGAACAGCATTGTGAAAATGGCTGCTAGTACTCCAACGAAAATTTCAAATAATTAAAAACTGATTTTATTGGGGCACAACCCTACTGATTTGTACACCACTAAAGTCAGAGGAATTTATTTTCTATTATTCCCAGTGTTAAGTCCAAGCCTATGCCAACGTATGTTATCATATAGAAATCCACAACACTCCAGAAGAATATTGATTTTGGCTGCAAAATCAAGTCAATAAATCAATGTGCAATGACTATGCTGTTAGATAAGGCAAATTGAGGAATACAATGCTGTTATAATTAGAAATATTAGTATTAATTAACATGTTTAGTATTAATTAATATCATTTGTGATTAATTTGCATTACAGAAATGAGCAGATGAAAGATTGAAGGATCTACAGTGAAATCATGCTGAAGCTTGATCCGTGCTTGGAGGGTCCTTTTCATACCACCTCCCATAGAGTGTTACAGTCAAAACTGGCTTTGATGTAGTGTTCTGATTTATCAGACGTCCATCAGCTAGCACCTGGTTATGAAAAAATAAATTAAGCAAGAGCAGCTTTAAAGCAGTACTATTGTATGGCAAACATAAAATCATACATTCAGGAATGTTGATCTAGTTGAGAGAGCTTCAGTCTCAATTGGAGCTAGCAGGAAGTCTGAGAAAAACTACATTTCTGTCTTGAGGGAGGTCTTGTTCTAGACGATTTGGGGAAACAGGGCAGAAGAGAATTGGCAAGGTGGACTTACTGTTTGAATACAATCAGGAAAATCAGGCAGAAATAAAGCTGCCTTGAACTCAAGGCAGAGGACAGAGGACTCTGGTAACAACTAAGTTGCTCTTGTAGTGGGTTTTTGACCACTGATGCCTGACAAATCACAAGGGTGTCCCATTACCTTGAACTCCCCAGGGGCCAGCTGCACCCCGCTGTACAACACTTCTGGGAAGATGTAGCTGATGCCAAAAATGCCACTGAGGGAGAACATCTCAAATTTGGTCTGAACTGTCTCCACGGGCTGCCCACACGTGCTACAAGGAAAGATTGCAGATCTGTGGGGAGAAGGAGACAGAAAGGCAAAACATCACTAAGCTTTCAGTAACTATAAGCTGGATTTGATAGCAAGAAAAGTTGTCATGATGAAAAACCTATTTAATACATCTATGCATTTATTTAGTATATACTCTGTATAGTTCTCTATATATTTCTCTGTATAAAGAAATGATTTGCAGCACACTAAAAAAAAGTGTGGCAGCGAAATTTTGAAGAATCAGTACACTGACAAGTCAAGCAAATACAAATGGTATATCCACATTTAATGTCCTTATTTTGTTAGATAACCAGATGGTAGATAATCACATCAGCACAATGGTACAGACCACTGAGCAGAAAACAGCTCTCTTTTGACAAGAGTATCCCTATGAAGACAGGGAGACACAAACATTCTTCTGTCATTTTCATATACAGAAACTTGCTTAGAATCATAAAATCATTTAGATTAGAAAGGACCTTTAAGACCATTGAGTCCAAGCACTACTCAGCACTGTTAAACCAACCACTAAACTATGTCCCTAAGCACCACATCTACACATTCTTTAAATACCTTCAAGGATGGCAAGAGAACCACTTCCCTGGGCAGCCTGTTCCAATGCTTGAGAATCCTTTTAGTGGAGATATTTTTCCTAGTAACCAATCTAAACCTCCCCTGGCACAACCTGATGCCACTTCCTCATGTCCTGTCACCTGGGAGAAGTGATCAACCCGACCTCCACCTCACCACAACCTCCTTTCAGGTAGTTGCAGGGAGCAATAAGATCTCCCCTCAGCAATAAATCCTGACAAATCTATAACCTGAAAAACCTTAAGAGCAACTTCTTCAGATGTGTTGCAGATGTACAATCAGCACAGAGAAACATACATACTTATCTTCTCCTGTCCTTGCCAAAACTGCTGGGTGACCTCACATTCAAGGGTGTGACAGCATAGGGTCAACCCAAGGCCTATACTTACATAATTTTGTAACGCTCAAAAGCAGATTAACATCCCTAATGAAGTCAAAATGTATAATGAAGAAAATAAATGTTGGGGGGGGGGGGGGGGGGGTGGTAAAAGATGCCTTGTCTTAAATGCCTACAATTAAAAAAAAAAATAAATAAAGGCAAACAGACTGCAAAGAGAGTATTGCATCCTTCTCACTGTTCAAATAAGAGCAGAAAACTCTTACCTGCAAATAATACTTCAAACAACATGTAGCCTGTCAAAGGCACCCAGGACATAAATTTCATCTTCCTGCTTCTCTACCATCTTGGAAGAGATGGCAACAGAGGTCCTGCTGGCAAATGGCTTGATTTCCCCCAGATTCAGTGAGTTCCATAAAGGAGAAGAGATCATGGTAAATGACTCCACTGAAAGAGTGTTTGTTTGATGGAAGCTGTTTGATCTGGCTGGCATACAATGTCCAGTTGACAGCAACAGGATAGTCAGAAGAGAGATGTGGGTGTGAACTGAGTTCTGTTACCAAAAGGTGACCATTATCCATTTCAGTATTGTAGTAATATGCTCTTGGACTGTCTGGGGCATAAATACCACTCCCTGCAAACACATAACATCAGAAATTTTCTAATCTGAAAGCAAATATATGGGACAGGTAAGCAGTAGTCACTAATTATATACGTGCAAAATGTAATTCTAATGTTTACCAGACTATTTTGAAACTAAATTGAGCCTTCATAGGCTACAATCTTAACCTAATATTTTTTTGCCATCAATGGAAAATAGATCAAGCTCTGGTGTTTCATGTATTGCGAGTGACAAGATTAGTGTCCTGATTATATATGATTTAAATGGCTGAAGTTTTGCATTCTTCTCTAACTGCATTATAAATCAGTAATTCTGATTAAAATGGGTGGTAACACTGTCCAATCAAAAAGTTCTGTAAGGAAAATATATTACCAAATTTCACATCTTTAAGCAAGTTCTTTACATAAACAGAGACAACTTTAAATCTCAGAGTAAAACCTATTAATAAAGAATGAGTTGTATGACATAGGGTCATATACTGAGAACTAAAGGAATGGCGTGCATCTCCTTTTGTTTGGATGGCAAAGTTTAGAGATACATTTTAGCAGTACGTTTCTCTCAATTCTGCAAACACATTCACACAAAATTTGTTCTTGACTTCTAGCATCTGCTCAGGAAAAATATACAATGAAAACAAAGCCTACAAAGAAAATGTGACACACATGGTCTCCAGCCCAGAAGTACTATTTACAGAACTCTCAAGAACATCTCTAAGCGTTAGGGTTCCATCTAGTGGAGAAAATGAAGTTTGGGTCTTCACATGGCCAAAATACCAATAAAACACCAGGGTCAGAAGATGAAGAAAAACACACATAAACTTCCAGGACTGATTATTTAACAAAGACTAGAGGTGTTGTAATCAACTGAAGAATTTCCAAGTTCTTACATGGCACATTTTTATTTTCTTTGTATCAAGAACTTTACAAGTTCTCGTGTCCTATTCCTGTTGACATGAGTATGCATGCTTAATGAGAATGAGGGACAATTAGAGCACTGTCACGTTACCTGTCATATCTAAAGTGGAGTTGTGTGTATTTGCTGAAAGGAAGTTGACCCCCATTCCCAAGGCCTGTACTAAGTAGAACTGGGCAGCTGACAACAGTGGAAGGGTGTTCACCCAAGCAGTTAGGAACAGAATGGTGTTAATCTGAAATCTGCTAGCCATGACCACAGCTGGGTCATGGTAGAGCATGTCTGCGCAAGGGAAAATGCCAAAATAGCCAAAGGATGTATTGAAAGTCACAAATCCTGGGTTAATTAAACTGTTTCTCTGTCACAAAAAGGCTGTATCGCACATGGAAAAGGAAAAAAAAATTGAGAAAATAAAATATTAGAAAATAAATCAAACCATTTGAGTTAAATGAACATTGAGCCAGTCACATAAATACAAATAATGGATAATATGTTTTGTGAATGTACTACATGTTAATTTCAAATAGGAGAACTCATACCACTGCAAGAGAAGTCAACCACAAATATCTGTTGCTTCTGATCTATATCAGTAAAAGGGATTTGTGTTCAGTTAGGAAGAATTTATTTAGGATGTTAATGTTTAAATATCTTATGTGTCACATCCTATTGAGATGCAGTAGAGGGTTTATTGAGTAGCATTTAGTTACTTGCTTTTAAATTTAGAATAGTGTCAGTGGTTTCCATCTGCCCTCTGACAATTGGTCTATTGGTCTCACTCTATGCAGAAATACATTGAAGTCCAGGAAGCAGATTCTGTTTCACATCTTTAATCTCCTGAGAATCATGCACTTCCTGAACATTGTAAAATTTTCTCACCTTGTGATAATGAGCCACTAGTTTCCTTTCTGAGTAAAAGAATATGTTGGTATTGTACTGATAGTGGCCATCACTCGGGCAACTTGGGTCACCGGAATTACATAGTTTCCTGTCTCCCATATTTGCAACCACATAGATGGAGCTACTCCTCACCAGACAGCTCAGTCTTTCAAGCATGGATGAGGGATCAAACCTAATCAGAAGGGAAAAAATAAAAAATAAAACATCAAAACCATTTAATAAAAAAAATTTCTTATGTTAAGACTACAGATCATCAGCCTGATAGATCTAAGCCATATCTATAAGGAGATTGCTGTTTTCTGTTACTTGACAGATGACAGCAGATTTGTGCTTCATAATGCTACAATCACCTCACGTTAACTGAGGAATGAGGGGTTTCCTCGCAGTGGAAGCAAATCACACCTTCAAGTCTCTATTCTGCTGCCGGGGTGTGGAACAGCGCTGAAGTTACACCCACACATGGGCTAATCTCAGCTGTTCTGCTCCAGTTCTTCCTGTGGCTGTTGTGCTGAGGTAGCTTAGG